AACAGGTCGCTCAGGAGGCTCCGCACCAGCATCGCCCTCAGCAGCGGCCGCGGTGATGAAGGTCTCGACCTTGGCCCAGACGTCGCCGAAGCCAATATCCTCGAGGGTGCCACCCGCCTTGGTGGCCATCGCCTCGAGCTGGACGCGCAGAATCCAGGTCGGTCGCAGGGGCCGCAGGCTGCTGCGCCGCGATCTTGGCCTGCAGAGCGAGCTCGTTGGCCTTGGCCTCGGCCTTCGCCTGGCGCGCCTTCTGCACAGCCTTCTGCGCCGCGAGCAGCTCCTTCTGCAACTTCTCGGCCTGCCGTGCGAGCACCTCCTCCTGATGCGTACGCTTGGCCGAGAGAGCCTGAGCCTCCCGCATCTGAATGGCGAGCGGCTTCTCCTGGTCCCTGAGGTTGCGAGCCTTCGCGATGTCCCTGTCCAGCTGCGCAATCCCCTCGGTGACGTACGTCGGTGGGTCTTCACCCTCGTTGACGGGGAACTCCTGGAGGCACTTTCGTTTCTCCAACAGGATCTCGAGCTCCGTCTTGGGCTTGCCCACTGCCTCTTTTGCCTTGTCCAGGACCCAGGGTGGGGGACGGGTCGTACACGTCTCCTTGGCAGAGCTCTTGTTCGGGGTCTGGCCCTTGTCCTTGCCACCCTTGCCTGTCCGCAGCCGTCCGCGCGCACGGCAGCTCGTGCGCGTCGCCCACTTGCTGCCCGTGCCGCAGGCCCCGCACGTCCAGGGTAGGTCGCCCACAATTGACATCGAACCACTGTGTCCTCCCCCCCACTGTGTACAGGGCCTCGTGTCCCACTGCATCTTCTTCTTGCCACAACCCTTGACCACCCAGCCATCCTCGCCGCCCGCCATCGGCGCGCCCCTCGCTCCGATATGAACCCACGAGGGCACTGGAGGGTGCTGCAGTTGCAGCTCTCATGTGCACTTGTTGGATAGGAAGGTGGCCTCAAAGCGGAACCTCCCTCGCGCTCAAATGTCGCCCCGAGAGACTCGCGGTCGTCGGGACGGTTCATGGTCTTGAGCCAAAATGGCTACGGAAGACGGCCCCAAGAGTTGCCCAGGAAGCCCCAAGAGGCCCTCAAGGGGCTCCCAAGATGCCCCTAAGAGGCTCCCAAGGGGTCCCTCAGAGGCCCCCAAAGGCGCCCCAGAGGCCCCAAGACGCCCCCCAGAGGCACCCAAGACGCCCAGAGAGGCCTCGGCGATGAAGCCCAAACGATGGATTTTAATTAGGTTTCGGCTACATGTCGGCCTCATGGGGGGAAGGACGGTAGTGTACTACGGCCCCTCCTTTGATCGATCTCCTCCAAGATGGCCTCATGATGGCCCAAGAGGTGCCCAGGAGGCCCCAAGAGGCCCCCAAGATGCCCGAAGAGGCAAGATGCCCGAAGAGGCTCCCCAAATACCCCTAAGAGGCACCCGGAGGCACCCAGGACGCTCCACGAGGCCTCGGCGATGAAGCCAAAACGATTGCTTGTACTCATGTTTTGGCCGTATTTGGGCCTGGGGGGGGGGGTGGTATGTACTACGGCCCTTCCTTTGATCGATCTCCTCCAAATTGCTCCCAAGAAGCCCCCCGAGGCTCCCAAGGGTGCCTCAAGACGGCCCCAAGAGGTGCCCAGGAGGAGGCCCCAAGAGGCCTTCGAGAGGCTCCCAACATACCCCCAAGAGGCTCCCAAGAGACCCCCAAGAGGCCCCCCTGACGCCCCAAGTGGCTCCCAGGACTGCCACGAGACCCCGAGGATGCCCCAAGAGGCCTCTAAGAAACTCTCGAAAGACATCCGAGGAGACTCTGAGAGGCATCCAAAAGGCCTCTTGCCTTTCTGCTCACCGCCCTCCTCCGCAGTCTCCTCCTCTTCCTCATCGGCATATTCCGCCTCCTTCCTCCTCCGTCCTCCCCCTCCTCCTCCTCCTCCTGCTCATCCTCCTTCTCCTCCTCCTCCTCCTCCTCCTCCTCCTCCTGCTCCTCCTCCTCTTCCTCCTCATGCTCCCCCTACGACTCCTCTTGCATGCTCCCCCTCTTTCGGTATGACGCCTCACCCAGCCGACTATTCCACGGCATACTCCCTTAAATCCCTGATCAGGGCAACTCGCCTGGGCATCGGTTCTGGAAGGGCATGTGGGGTTACGCGAAGCGCCTAGACTTGGGGAGTCGAATCAGATGGGGCTGGCCGACGTCGATGTCGAATCCCACCAGCCCTCTGGGCGTAGGTGGTCTAGGGCGGCTCCTCTTCCAACCCCCTTCTTCCCCTTCGGGAAAGGGTTTACCCCTCCCCCTACCCCCTCCCCTGGACCTGGACGGGGCCGGCCAGGCCCCGTCCAGGTCCAGGGCGTCCAAAACGGCATCGGCGAGGAAGCCAGCATCATTGGACTTACTAGGGTTTTGGCCCCATTTTGGCCTCTTGGGGGGGGCGCCGATTGAAGCTTCACTCTTCTTTGATCGATGTCATCCACGATGGCCCCAAGAAGCGCCCAGGAGGCCCTAAGAGGCCCCAAGACGCCCCAAGATGGCCCCAAGATGGCCCCAAGAAGCCCCCAAGAGGCCCCCACGAAGCCCCCCAAAGGACCCCAAGCGGCCTCAAGAGGCCTCCCCGAGGCACCCAAGACGCCCAAGAGCCCCCCAGGACCGCTAAGAGACCCTCAAAACGTCCCAAGAGGTCACCAAGAAGCGTCCATGAGATATCCCAAGAGGCTCCGAGAGGCATCCAAGAGACCTCTGGCCCTTTTGCTTGCCCTCCTCCTCCTGATCCTTCTTCCTCCTCCTACTCTTTCTTTTTCTTTTTCTCCTTTTTCCTCCTTTTTTTCCTCCTCCTCCGCCTCCTCCTCCTCCTCCTCCTCCTATTCATCCTCCTTCTCCCCACTCCCTCATCCATCCATCCATCCTCCTCTTTCTCCTCCTCCCCGCACGGTTCGGCCGTCCCCCTCTTTGCTCCCGCACTTCCCTAATCACCTCAACTCGCCTGGACATCGTTTCTGGATGGGCCGGTGGGGATACGCGAGGCGTCTAAAAATCGGATTGGATTGGATCGAAACTGACCAACGGAGCCACCTTGGGTCATCCTGGGAGGTGCTCGAATACTTGGTGGCCATCCGGAGCCTCCCGAGTCCGAGACCTCAGCACAATACCACCCCACCCCTGCCAAGAACATCAACAACCTGGTATTGTCACGAACCCTGTTGCGCGCTTCTGGGGGCTTGCTGGAGTCCTTCTAAGGTGAGCTCAGGAAGCTGCCATACGAGTTAGGAAGTCTCGGGGCTGTCCGTTCGTCGCTGTGAGGCTTTGTCGAGGCACTTCCAGCAGTCCTGGAGTCGTGGGGCAGTCCTGGGGCCCTCTTGGGCGCTTCTGAGGGCTTCCTGGAGCCTCCCGAGTCCGACCTCAGCACAACACCGCACCACCCCCGCCAAGAACATCAACAAGAAGGTGGCGGCCCAGCCGCCGTAGGCGGTGGGCGCCCGGCGAAGGAGCCGCTGCCCCCGCGAGCTCCCTGATCATGTCTGTGCTGAGGGGCGACGTCAGGTAGGCGGCGAGCCAGGGGGGGAAGTGAGAAGGGGCGTACCTTCTCAGAAGGCTCGGAAGTCCCCCCGACTTCTGAGAAGTTCTCTACGCCTCCCCCGAATGCAGAAAAAACCTCTCCGAAGGCGCGAGGGCCTCTGAGAAATCCCGCCGCCTTCTGAGAAGGCCCTCTCCTTCTCAATTCCCCCCCCCTCGCTCGCCGCTGATCAGGGGGGGACTGAGGAGGAGGAGGAGGAGGAGGAGGAGGAGGAGAAGCAGGAGGAGGAGGAGGAGGAGAAGCAGGAGGAGGAGGAGAAGCAGGAGGAGGAGGAGGAGGAGGAGGAGGAGGAGGAGGAGGAGGAGGAGGAGGAGGAGGAGGAGTGGGAGCTGGAATCGGCGATACACATCGCCTAGGCATCGGCGACCGGCCCCCCCCGACAAAACCCCTCCGCACGGCCCTGGCTCGGGGTGGGCGCTCGGCCCCCATCTCGGCGAGGCAGGGGCGACTGGGGGTCGATGCGTTCCCCCCCGAGACTATCCCACCCCAACCTTGCCTTGGGCGCCCGAGTTATCCGGGGTAACTCGGGTCCGGGGTAACTCGGGTTTGGATTCCCGAGAAAGGAACCCGAGTTAGCCCTGACCCGAGTTACCCCTGATGATTCGGGGCTCTGGACGCCCGAGTTATCCGGGATAACTCGGGTCCGGGGTAACTCGGGTTTGGATTCCCGAAAAACGAACCCGAGTTATCCCTGACCCGAGTTACCCCTGATGATTCGGGGCTCTGATTGCCCCTGAGAAGAACGACAGAAAAAAATGGCGGCCGTCGCCGCCGGCTGTCGGGGGCCCGGCGAGCAGCCGCAGCTGCCGCGCGCTCCCCGAGTTTAAGGCTGTGCTGTCGGCTGCGCGCCAGACTTCTCCTAGGCAAGAGCGGCATGCTGCAATAATCGGGGAGACGTAAGACCCGGGTACGGGGGACTCGGAAATCCCCGACGAGGTCGTCAAAAAAATGACGAGGCCGAGCCTGCATTTTGACGAGGCCTCCCGCTGCAGACATCCCACGAAACTCCTCCTCGTCAAAATCCGAGTCGCGGTCGTCAAAAAACGATGGCGAACCCGAGTCCCGGCAAACCCGGGTCTTACGCTCCCCCGAAATAACGGGCTGCGTGCTTGCCTTTGCTCCCGCCGCCCGAAACCCGTGCACCAAAGGTCACTGCGGCGAAGGGCCACTCTTACGCGCAGCCGCTGTGCTTCGCGAGGCGTCTGGTTGCGCGCAGCCAGCCCCCCCGGGTAGTCCCGGCTGGCCTCCTCAGGCCCCCCGAGTAAACCCAGCTTGCCTCAACAGACCCCCTCGGGTAGTCTGGGGCGGTCTCAAGCGCCCCAGGGGCGCCGCCCGAGGCGGTGCCAAGGTGCTGGGACTGCTCTAAACTACTGGATGGGGGCCTGATGAGGCCCGCGAGGATTACCTCGGGGACTGTCTGTGCGCAGCCCGAAGCCTCACCAGTGCCGGCCCTACAGGGACACCGTGGTCCTCCGATAACTCGGGGCGCCCTCCTTGCGTGCGGGCGGCCACCCCGCGCCCGCGGGTCTCGGCTGCTGCGAACTCGAGCACGGCCTGCACGGCACAACCTCCCGGGCCCGCTCGCGCGCGCGCGCGGACCGGGCTCTCGCAGAGCGGTCCCCGACCCGAGGTGCAGCCGTCCCTGACACACATACACATACACACATACACATACACACATCAATGCGCGTGGCAGGTGAGGAAGACATACCCCCAAAGGGGCACGCTCAATGACGAAGAGGGCGGGTACCGAGGGTTTGGGGTATACGCGTTGAATGGCAAGCCAGCAGATAAGAGCGAACACTGTTGAACTGAGTGGTGTTGTTGTTGTTGTTGCTGTTGTTGTTGTTGTTGTTGTTGTTGTTGTTGTTATTGTTCTTGTTCTTGTTGTTGTTGTTGTTGTTGTTGTTGTTGTTGTTGTTGTTGTCGGCATCGCCCGCGACCTGCCCGCGACCCACCTCGCGACCAACCCCTAAACCCACCCGCCACCCACCCACAATGCTTCGACGAAACTCCAGCGTTGTGCAACGTCTGTGAAAATCAGCGCCTGCGGCGGGCTTCTTCGGAGCCTCGCAGACTGCCGACGACCCGCCGCCCCCCTACTTTCATCCGCAACTGCAGGGTGCTGCGTAGACGTATGCCAAGAGAGCAAGTGGGACCCACGAAGCTTCCGCACAACAAAGGATCCCTGAGACAAATCAGTATGATCCATAAGACTCTTGCACACACGCAGTGGGATCCAATAAGGCCCATGTTCTGTAATGCAAAAGGCGAACTTTGGGCCTTGTGATGAAAACAATTGCGCCACTTCTGCCCTTTATCTGCACGGGCAAGAAACTCCAGGGGCCAGCGCTGTGATTGCCTGGTTTGTGTGTGCATAAACCATCTGAGTTAATCGGTTTTCCGTTCGATCCTGCCGCCTCTGCTCGCGAGAGTTTCGATCGTGTCGAAGTGGGGAACATGCTTCGTGTATTTGTGAAGGAGACGCAAGTCAAAACCACAACGCAGGTCGAATGATTTTCCTGCTGAGAAACAGATGAGAACGACGACGGACCGACCGACGACGACCGACCGTCTGATCCACGACGACGACGACCGACCGACCGACCAACTGGCTGGCTGGCCGACCGACCGACCAACGGCGACGTCGATCGACGGGCCGAACGACAGAAAAAACCCTCCCCCGTGGAATCATAGCATTGGTTTGCAGATCCACGGCGCCGTGGATCCAATTTCCTGTGGATCCGCGAAACGAGCTGTTACTACAATTTGATTCACAAGGAAAGCGGGACCTTCCAGGCCGACACATGGAATGATGAAGGCTTGGATCAACGAGATTCTTGCGCACACGCAGTGGGATCCAATGGCACCATGCAAGGAGGAAGAACTTGTGGCCTGGGTACCCACGAGGCTCCCACGGGCGCACACGAACCAGTCACCAGCCGAAAACCTGGCACACCCATCCAAGTCCTGGATAACGACAAATAAAAGCCTTTCAGGTGAGCGCTTTTTCTATTCGTTGTTTAGACATTGGGCGGAAGGGGGGGGAGGGGGGTCTGGCTCCGGACCTCTGCTTACTTAGTGCGACTGCTTGCAACAGTGCATCCTGTGGGGGAAGGACTCCACCTGCTCGAAACAGGTGCCAAAAACAGCCAAAATCTACCCCACGGGGGGCGCCGATTGGCAAAATAATGAATAAGAAAACGCTCACCAGTGCAAGCCCTGTTCTGGAAAGTTGTCGCCTGCGGCGGGCCTCTTAAAATTGGCATTCGAACTTCGCGACCCGATGATTCGCCCCACGACTCCCGCAGTTTGTTTTGCGAAAGGATCGGCGCCCGCGTTGGGCTGATTATTTAGAAACAGCGGCGCCCGCGGCGGGCTTCTTCTTGACATTGGCGCTCGAGTCCCGTAACTCGGGTAAAACAGCCTGGCCCCCCCCCCCTCCCGCACTCTTGTCCGGCGGTGCTCCGCTAGAAATTGTGGACAGTCGGATCCTTCTCCTCCTCCTTCTCCTCCCTGTCCTTATTGCCGTCGTCGTCCTCCTCCTCCTCCTGCTGCTGTTCCTCTTCCTCCTCCTCTTCTTCCTCAGACTCCTCCACCTCCTCCTTCCCTTCCCTTCCACCTCCTCCGGCTCTTCCACCTCCTCCGACTCTTTCACCTCTTCCGACTCCTCCACCTCCGCCTTCCCCTTCTTCCTCACCCTCCTCCTCCACCCTGCACCCCGTGCTCCCATTGCTCCTCCACTGCGTCCGGCGTTCGTGATGCATCCTTACCTGGGGGTAAATAGAAGCATATAAGCTGGGGGTGAAGAGCCACGCACACCTTTTGGGCCCTCGGTGGCAGTTTTGGGGCTGCTCAGGGCCTCCTTGGGACCACTGCCCTGCTACGCTCGCGCCCCCCCCCCCCCCCGATGATTGCCGCCCCTCCCCTGGGCCCCTCCCTTCCCAGATGGTCTGGTACCGGAAATTTTCGGTAGCGATTTCAGCGCACCCCGAATTTCGGTAGCGACCGGATCTTCGTTTGAGGGCGTTGAAATAGCGGATTTCAGAACGCTCTGATACCGATATTGGGCGCTACATTTTGGTATTTCGGTAGCGACCGATCTCTGCGGAGCGCTACCGGAAATTTTCAGTAGCGGACCATCAGGGTTCTGCTCAGGCTCCGGACTCTGGGCTTCCTCTCCCCCCCGGCTGGCCGGCAGGTCCCCCCCGCCCCCGCCGCGAAGCAGCCGATGCAGGAGGCGGGCACGCCCTGCGAGCCGCACTTGCGGTGCTCTCTCTCTCTCTCTCTCGCTTGCCTCCCCTCTGCGCCCCGACGGCAGGGCGGGCTGGGGGGGAATCGCCGTGAAGGGAACAGGGAGGGGGGCCCCGAGGGAAAAGAGCTCTCGAGCTTTCCCTCCCTTTTGGGCCCCCCTGGGGCCCTCACTGGGCCCCCGGGGCCATCAAAGAATGGCTCGGGATGAGCAAGCTGCCCTGGGGAGGGCCCCGGGGGCCCGGGACCCGTGCCGTGCAGTCATCGCGCTGCCAGAAGGGACGCCGGATAGGGAACGAGGCGGCTCTTCTCTGGCCATGGCGAGCCTCGGCTTGGAACGAGTTTTCGGGGATGGACAGACCCCCCTTTAGTAAAACGTGGTTTAGTGAAAACGACTTCGGGCCCAAACCTGGCGGGCGCAAGCCTGGAAAATAGCGGCCACGGCGCCCTCTCGAAAACCGAAAACGGACAATTCACTAATCGACGTGTCACTGTTGGGGGTTCTGTCCAGCCCCGAAGTTTCTCGACCTATAGACCTCAGGAGCAGCCCGAAAACCAGAGCCCCGCCCGAGCCCGAAGCGATCCTCCCTTCAGCGTCTTGGCTGTGCCCGCAGGGCCCCTCCCTCCGGCCAGTGAAGGGGCAGGTGCTGGGCGCGCGCGACGCTGGCCGGCAGGCACTGGCGACGGTGTCGTCGTCGTCGTCGTCGTCGTCGTCGTCGTCGTCGTCGTCGTCGTCGTCGTCGTCGTCTCGGGATTGTTTTGGCGTCTGTGGGGGTTCTCGTCGCCGCGGCTGGGCGCAGCCCGGAAATCTTGTCAGCAGGGGCCCCAGGAAGGGGCAAGGGACTGGCCCGAAGCGGGCTGCAGTCGGGGGCAGGAGGAGTGGGCGGCCTCCTCCTCCTCCTCCTCCTCCTCCTCCTCCTCCTCCTCCTCCTCCTCCTCCTCCTCCTCCCTCACGCCTCGCATCCCCTCGCTCACCACGCCTTCCTCCAGTTCCTCGTCCTCCTCCTCTGCTCCGCTGCTGCTATTGCTGCTCCTCCTCGTTGTCCTGCTTTCTTGTGCTGCCTTCTGCAGACCCTTCTCTCCTCCTCCTCGCCCTCCTAATGCCTCATCCTTCCTTCTCCTCCTCCTTTTCCTCCTCCTCCTCCTCCTCCTCCGCTTGCTGGATCCCCCACCCTCTCCTCCCCCCTTCCTTCCTGTTCCGCTTTTTACTTCCTCCCCTCCGGCTCATCCTCCTTCCCCTTCCTTTCTAATTCTTTCCTCCTTCTGATCTCCTACTCCCTCTCCTCCTCCTCCTCCTCCTCCTCCTCTTCCTCCTCCTCCTCCTCTTCCTCCTCCTCCTCGTTTTTCCTTTTTCCTCCTCGTCCTCCTTCTCCTCCTTCCTCCTTCCTGCGTCCTCCACCTTCTTCTTCTTCTTCTTCTTTCTTCTTCTCTTCCTCCTTTTCCTCCTCCTCCTCCTCCCCCTCCTCCTTCCTATGTGCTTTTCCGCCATTTCCGTGTTGTGCTCCTCTCCTCCTCCCCTCCTCCTCCTCCTCCTCCTCCTCCTCCTGTTCCTCCTCCTCCTCCTCCTCCTTTTCGCCCCTCGTCCCTCTTTCCTCCCCCCCCCACTCTCTCCTCATTCTGCTCCACCGCCTCCTCCTCGTCCTCCCCGTCCCCGTCCCCGTCCTCGTCCTCGTCTTTGTCGTCCTCGTCCTCGTCCTCGTCCTCGTCCTCGTCCTCGTCCTCGTCCTCCTCCTCGTACTCGTCCTCCTCCACCCCGCCGTCTCGTCGCGCTCCCCCTCCTTCTCCATACCCTGCATTCCCTCTTCCGTCCTCCCACCCCTCAGCCTCTGTCTCCTGTTACACACCCCCTCTGCCTCCCTCATCTGTGTGAGAAGAAATCAGATCAATGAAATGCCGTCGCGGGGAACCCAACAACGCGTTACTTTACTGCTGAAGAAGCACAATGCCTTCGGGCAGGACAGACAGGACTAACACGCTGACTGGCCCCCAAAACGCGGCGTGTCATTGATGTTCATTCTATTCCTTCCTGACCATCCTCCATGCCCCATCCCCCGCCTTCCCCACCCCCCTCGCGTCCCTCCCCCCCCCCCTCCTCCTCCTTCTCCACAGCTCGGTGGGGACAAACGTCCAGGCGCGTCGCGCCCCGTCGAAGCGTGCGACGCGCCCCCTCGCGAGTGCCGCATGAGTGGCAGAGCCCACTGCGGCGCGCGGCGAAGGAGCAGCCTACAAACATGACGCTCCTGGACGCAAGGCCACCGTCGCACCCAACACGCGCAGCACAGCGCGCCGGGTGAGGGTGGGTGGGGAGAGCGCTCAAGGCAACGGGCCCGCCTGTCCTGCATGTGCCGTGGTCGCCTGGGCGGAGCCGCGGCGAGCGCGCGCTCCGTCGGGCCGCGCGCGCACCTGCGATCCCCGCCTGCGCAGCGAAGACGCGCGCCCGCGCGCGGACCTGCCCCGCGCGCGCGCGCGCCTGCCAAGCGATCCGCGCACACCTGCAGGACGCGCACCTCACGCGTGCGCCTGCCGGCCGCGCTTCCCGCCGCCCCCTACGAATTGTGCCCGCGAGCATGCGAGCGCGTGTGCCCACCATCCGGCGGCGGCGCCGAGGGGGATGAGGAGGGGCCCACTCACCAGGAAGAGGAACGAGACGAGGGCAGGCGGACAAGAGAACGAGGAGAGGGCAAAAGTCAGGGTCCTGGCGCCGTCCCCTGCGGCGTGCGCCCGATGAGGCCAGCCAGATCGGGCTGGCGGCTGGCAGTTTGTCTAGTCCGAGCACCCGGGATCGCAACGAGATCCCCTTCTCTTCTGCGATGGGCGCGATAGGAATGGAAGCGCATGTCAACATAGAGCAGCACCGACACGAGAGCAGCATTCAGCAGAGGGCAGTGGCGATACATCAAGATGCGCGAGACACCTCCCGCGAGGCAGAACGAGGAGGGCAGCGACGGAAGCAATATACCAAGGGCATCGTTCTTGGACATCCGATGAGATACTTGAGCTGGTCGCCTGCTGTGAGGCCACACTGGCTGCGTCTGTGAGTTTCGGACCGAAGCCGTCCAGTCGCGCGCCAAGCGTTGCGAAGTGTTTTGGGGAAAGACGCGAGGACGGACGGAGGAACGCGGGGGGCGGCCCTCCAGAAGGCGATGACAATTAAATCAATCTGCCTGGGCGACACGCGCGGGTCAAGCTTACGGAGGCAAGCGGCTATAGTGGGCATCGCTTCGCGAGGGTACAAACGACGACGCTCGAGCTCGGATTTTTTCTGCAGGGGTGTGACGTGGGGCACGATGGATGGGGTAGCCGAGAGCCTGACGCAGTTGTCAATGAGGCCGCGCAGGATGCCATCGCGCCACCGCCTTTCCTCTCGCCGCAGAATGACACGTTAATCCGAGGCCTCAACTACTTCCAATGCCTGCATCAGAAGGAGGAACGAGGGATAATGCACAACGGCGCGAAATCGGGCAGCACGACTCGTGAGCTCGATGTCCCTGGCCTCCAGCGGGAGTCCTATCCTGAACCCTCTTCATCATTGTCGCTGTAAGTCGCGTTGTTGGGGCCAAACGTGGGCTTCTGGATGTCTGCCCTTTCAGCTTCCAGTGGGAACTGGGAACTGCCATGCAAATGTGATAACCGAGGGCGCCATCGAGTTATACTGCCCAATAAACTTCGCGACCCCCAAATCCAGCACCTGGATGATCTTTGCGCGCATCGCGAATTTCCTTGCGTCGGGGCCCAGAGATGCATGGATGCTGCCGGGCCCAAGATGCACCCCGAGATAACGGCCGCGCCAGCGGACATGAAGCCCGCGCACTTGGAGGCCACGTTCCGCGAGAGCTCCTAGGAAACCTGCCCCCGACATCTCAAGAAAAACGACCGCGGTCGTCTCGGCGTTCGCGAAAATGCCCATCGCTGGGCCAGCCAGGGCCCACGCCCGCGTACTTTCCAGAAGGCGAGGACCGCGCCCCCCGAGCTGAGCCCCACGTCGTCGGCGAGAACACCCGAGCTACTCGGGGGCCGAGGCAGGGGGGGGCAGATCTTCCGACTCGATAGATAACTGAGATCCATGCGTTCTGGTACAGACACCGCATTGCACGCGCGAAAAACTCGGGAACCCCCACAGCGCGCAGCGTCGCGAAGATCGTAGCGTGCAGGAGGCCGGGGAAAGCAGCGCGCACGTCATGCATAATCATGCCTGCCTTCTCTGCTCGGCGTTGCAGATGCCAGCGGGGTGCGCGTTATTCCTCTTCAGAAGCGTTTTCGAACAGATTTCTCCCACAAATGAAGCCACGCTGTTCACTGATGCGCGTGAACTTCTAGACGCTCCAGGGCGGGCGATTAATAGCAAGCGAGATGAGCTCGCTGGACGTGCCCGATGTTGTGAGGGGGCGAGCGGTCCCAGGGGGGCGAACGCAAAGACTGGCATCGCTGGGGTCGTCGCCTTTCGCGAAGAAGACATCGCGGCCGCAATTAAACTCGCGGCGGCGCTCCCCGCTGTCTATGGCGCGCCGGTGCAGCTGGCAACAAGCAGGACCTCCATCCTCCCCCGCCTTGGACCAACCAGAATTGGGGAAGCCGTCGGGCCCCGGGGCACTGTCGCGGGCCTTTCCGCGCATCTCCAGGAACTCCTCCTCCGCCAAGGCGCGCGGCACTCGGCCGGGGGCTCGGGGGGCCTGCCCGAGCAGCTCCTCGAAAGCACTGGCATCGATGTCCACGGCGCCGTTGAAATCGCCCAAATGACGCGCGAGCTCTCGCGCGCCAGCCTCTGGGTCAAATGTGGGCGCGCTAAGCGGGTCGGCAGTCGCCTGGATTGAATTCTCGGGGCCCTTCGTGTTCCAAGCGGATCGATGCTAGTAGATTGCCCAAGACATTTTGCCGTTCCTGAGGATGCATTTCGCTGTCGTTCACCATCTCGCCAATTTGGGCGTCGATCTGCTGGCGTTTCAGACTGGCGAGGAACGTGTGAGATCCCGCGAAGTTGCTGCAGGGGCGCGCGGGCCCTGGAGCCTGGGGTGGGCCGCGGGCGCGAGGCGAAGAGCACCTGGGTCTCGGCTCGGACAGCCCGCGTGGCAGCCAGAGCCCAATTAATGCATCCAGCCAGTGACTGGGCACCTTTCCGTTCGAGTCGGGCCGGGACCTTTTTTCGCAGAGCATTCGATGGCGCCCCCCGCCTCCTCCGCCCGCCCAATGGGGACCTCGGACCTTTCCCCGCCGCCATCAATAACTTCCTTGAAAGCCGTTGGCAATGACTTGTGCTTGGTGGCCTAGGATGGACTGCTATGCGCCCCAGACTTACCGGTGGGTGCCAGAGAATAGAAGACGGGCGCGTGGTCGGACAGGGGCGCCACGTCGGCGGCGCAGCCTATCGCGCCAGAGCTGGGAGCAAGGTCCAGCAACAGACCAGCCGGAATCGACGTGTATACCCGATCCAGCCAGGAAAAAGATGTCGCCACTTTCTTCGCAGACACCATCCCCTCGACCCTGCGCGCAATGTTGGGTGGGGAGGGCAAGTCTCCCAGAGACTTGGAAGCTGCCTTCGCCGCTTACAGGAAAGTAATCTCCGCGTACCACGGGGGGGCACTGGTCGCGGGGCTGCAGCTGGCCGCGCGCGCGTGCAAGCTGCCCCTTTCTCTGGCGTATACGTGGACGAGAGTCGCTGTGAATGCCCGTGATCTGGAGGGCGCGCGCAGAATTGCACAGGGCGGCGGACAAGATACGACCTGCGTGAACGACGCGAACATGAGCACGCTGAAGGACAGCACGGACCCTGGGATGCACATAACCGGGCGTCTATCCTGCACGAGGATTGTCCAGGAACGTTCCAAAACCTGATAACATATAAACTTCGCGCCCGAGGGCTCGGGGACACTCGTGCGCGCCACGGGCTTCCTGAATACAGGCAATGCCATAGCTCTGGGTGATCTTCCAAAGCCGCCTAATCTTATCGCGGTGCGTGTATTGCGGTACATACTGTGCTCCAAAAAGTGACCCCACATTCCACGAGACAACTGAGAACCGCTGCGATGGGAGAAACGGAGCACGCCCAGGCGGCAAGCCCGGCCAGTCATCTGACGACAAACTGGAAGAGGAGGAACTGCTAGAAGTGGAGGAGGAGGGCGAAGCGCAGCTGGAGGAATATGTAGATGCCGAACACGAGCTGCTCGAGCTGCTCGAGCTGCTTGCGGGCGAGGCTGCTGCTCGTCGCTTCCGCGATGCAGGTCCCGACGTGCGACTTCGTCTAACATGAGTCGGCGAACATTCCATGCACCTGCGACTCGAGGCGCCGTCCTAGTGTATATCCTTCACGCCACGTGCCACTCGAGTTTGCAACGTCACTAACCTGCGACCACAACGTCCCCCAAACACGGTTCACTTCTCGAATGGTTGTTGGCGGAGCGTCCATCCGGATCTTTAGCTGTACCTCCTGTCTGGTCTTGCAATCCTCTCACGACACACCAATGTTGCGAACCCTTGTGAGAAACTCTTTGGCGGCATCGCTCGTCTCGAACATGATGCTGTACGCCGTGTGGAAGTTGTGCGCTTTCAGTGTGGTCGCCGTCCCCGTAGGTACCTGTCTGGTAATGAGGGGCTTCGCATGCGCAGTGAGGACACGGCTCAAAAATGGCCTCGGAACTCCAGCAACCCAGATACGCTTGTTATCACTGTCGCGTCCGCGGTCAGCGTCACGTCCGCGGCTGCCAGACGCAGCTGAAGGAGTCCCTGTCGACGAGCGAGCACGAAACTGCTGCACTTCCTGATGCATTCTTTCTGCCTGCTCTCGAACAGCTGTGATCTGACTATCCAACCGACTGTCGAGCTCCGCTTTGGCCGCCTGCTGGGCGACTGCGAAACTGCTGCTGGCCCTCTCCTCAATATTGCGCATGCGCGTGGAGAGGTCGTCGATCTGCTGCGTGTGCGTGGCAATATGCTGCTTCACCTCGATCGCGTCACTCTTCGTGACCATCTTGTCCTTGATCTCGCTCAGCATGTATCTGAGCCAACCGTTGCTGTCGTGGGCTGCGCCAGGGGCGGTGGCCGCAACCACAGGCTGTTCGGGGAGAGAGTCGCCGTCACCACTCTCACGCGGCACGAATCTGGTGCCGTCCGCTGGCGTATCGGCGGCGCTCGACAACATGGCCGACAGATCGGAGAAAAGAGGGAATGCCGCCTGGGTTTGAACCCAGGAGAGCCTCACAACAGAGGCTGCCTCTTTTTTGGTCGGCGGTTCCAAGGCAACGGACAGGGAGCGGAAGCGGCGTCCGGGTCACGGTACGAGGCGAATTTGCAAACCAGAGGCTGCCTCACCCAAGTGGCCAAAATGTGCCAGGCCTATCATCCACGCGGGGGTGGCAGGACTCCTGGCGCCGCCGCTGGCGATACTCTGGCCAGAACGGCCTGAGCCAACAAGGCCACGGAAGGAGGAGGAGGAGGAGGAGGAGGAGGAGGAGGAGGAGGAGGATGAGCAGGAGGAGGAAGAAGAACAGGACGACTCCGACAATGGCGGCAGCGGCGACGGCGTGGCCCGAGGAGCTTCCTCCCCGATTCAGCAAGGGGCGCGCCCCCCAGAGGACCCAGGGAGGCCCGTAGCGGTCCTCCGGCGGTTCCTAGAGGCCTGGGGAGGCCCCCAGAGAGCCTGGAAACCTCGAGCCTCGAACTGCACGAGCAGAGAGACTTTCGGAGGCCCGCGCGGACTCCTTGGATCGGCGCCGGGCCCCCGTGCTGGAGGCGCCGCCAGGGTGGTCCACCGCGTATCTGAGAAGTCCGCGCGGACCTCCGAAGTCTGTTTCGATCGGGGGACCTTTCTCCACGAGCCAGAGACGCGGAATGCGGCAACACGCACGCGCAGTGATGATTTTCGTCATCTCCGACAGCACGCTGGGTCACGCTGCTATGTGCCCTTGTTCCCTTTAGCGGGCTCGACCCTCACGCCGATGGATGACTGTATGTGTTCATCAGGCTCTGGTGCCGAGACAGATGCAGCAGACACAAATCCACCTCCTAACCCCCACCAAACACTCGGGGATGGACAGACCCCCCTTTAGTAAAACGTGGTTTAGTGAAAACGACTTCGGGCCCAAACCTGGCGGGCGCAAGCCTGGAAAAAAACGGCCACGGCGCCCTCTCGAGAACCGAAAACGGACATTTCACTAATCGACGTGTCACTGTTGGGGGTTCTGTCCACCCCCGATTCAAAGCCGTACCCGGCCGCGCCCGCCCTCTCCAGACATCCGGCGCCTCGATTCCTGGGGGACGCGGGCCCGCCCCCTGACCCCTTTGACCACTTCTCTGGGGCCGTTTTGTTCCACCGCGAGCCGTTGGCCCGTCAAGGGCCCCGAGAGGCCGAAAACGAAGAGAAAGGGGGAGGATAAGGGAGGAGGAGGAGGAGGAGGAGGAGGAGGAGGAGGAGGAGGAGGAGGAGGAGGAGGAGGAGGAGGAGGAGGAGGAGGAGGAGGGGAAGGAGGATAAAGGAGGAAGAGGAGGAGGAGGAGGACAAAGGAGGAACCTCCGTCTCGTAATTTGTTCGACACGCAGGATGCCTGGCGCTCCCCCGGGCCAGAGAGCCGCGCGCTCCTGCTCGAAGGACCCCGACAGGGAGAACTCCGCCGACCGCGCAAAGGCCTCAGGGGGGCAGACGCGGGGGGCAGGCCGGCGAGCCGGGCGCGCGAGCCGCCGAGGCGGCCCCAACGCGTAGGCTCGAGGGGATCGAGGGTCGAGGGCGGGATCGAGAGGAGCGAGGGTCGAGAAGGGGCGAGGGTCGAGAAGGGGCGAGGGTCCAGAAGGGGCGAGGGTCCAGAGGAGCGAGGGGACCCGGAGCATCGACCAGCTCTCCCCAACGCGGATGATGGCAGCACGACGAGGGCGCTGGGGCCGCAGACCCCTCGCGTCGTGACAGAGATCGCGGCGGAGGCTGTTCAGGTGGTAAAGAAAAACCGAGCGGCATCACCTGAAAGTGCTGGAGCTCCGCGCGGATGTCTTGGATCGGCGCTGGGGCCCTCCTGGCGGCGCCTCCGGCGCCGCGCCTGGCGCGCTCCGCGCGCCAGGGGGGGGAGTTCGGCGCCGATCCAAGGAATCCGCGCAGAGCTCCAACAGTTGATGTTTATGCCATGTGTTGTTCTTCGAGCTTTCGGCCGCAGGGGGCCCTCGCCAGGCCCCAGGGCCGACAAGAGACGTCTCTGGATGGAGCGCCGGTCCCGGGGAAGGACTCCAGAACCCCGACGTCAAGATCTGTTCGTGACGTCGACCCCAAAAGGCCTCGACCGATTCCCCGGGACCGCTTTATCGTTTTTTGGCCGTCCCGGGGCCCGGCAAAGGCGACCGGAAGCCGAAGATAGGCAACAAAAACCTTCTGCCGTGACATTTCCATGACACGAGGGGGTCTGGGAGTCCAGACCTCTGGGGGTCCACGTCAGGACAACATCACGTCGAGGCTGTCACGACAATTGACACTCGAATCGCTCTATCATTGGATTCAACATGTCTTTTGAAAGTCTTCTGCATGCTTGGGATAGGCTCGAGACATGTTTAAAACATGCTCTAGCACTTTGGGGGCATAGTTTAAACATGTTTTGGACATCTGGATTTTCGGAGGACTAGAAGTGGGCACGAACACCAGCACAGGGGGTTGCCTCCACATGGGGAAGATGATCCTAGATTTCGGTGTTGGTGGTAATATTTCGGCCACCTTGGACACCAGAATATCACCACCATCACCGGGATCGGGATCCTCTTCCCGTCGGTGGAGGCACACCGCCGAAACTGGTGTTGGTGTCAACCTCTGGGCCTGCGAGAGTTCTTTCTGGCAGCGTGCCCCCCTCGCCTTCTGCTCGTCCTCCACAGAGCAGCACGGCGTCGGGGGGTCTGGGCCAGGGCGGCGGGGCCGAGCTCGACGGGCGGGGGCGGCCCGTGAGGCCCTCGCCCCGAAGCCTGGGCCCCGCGGGGCGCTCGCAGACCGAGGCGGCCCGAGAGGTGCCCGCGGGAAGGCGGGGCGCTCGGGGCGTCGGGTCGTGGCCTCGCACGACGCCGCAGGCTTCTCGTGGCGTCGGGTCTCGAGGGCGGTGCGTGTCGGAGGAGGTCTCGGGCGGCGTGGTGATGGGGGGTGGCCCCGATGGGGGGGGGGAAGAGGAGGGCCCTGAACAGGCCCCCTGGGGAGCCAGCTGGTGCCCAAAAGGGGTCCAAAGGGCCCCTTCGGGCATTTGTTTTCACCCCCTACTTGGGCCACCCCCCCATTGCCACCCGCCCGAAAGCCCCGACCCTTCCCCCACGTCCGTCTTTTTCATCCCGCGTGCGTCGTTTCGTGAGGGCCCCGGGCCTGTGGTGAGGGCCCCCCGAGGGCCGAGGACGTGGGGACGCTTCCGTCTTTTCTGTCGATGCGTTGCCCACCGCCCGCCGGCCTGGCGTTCTCAGTCCGCGGCCGCAGAAGTCCCGACCGCTTTCCCGGGAGGTGGGCTTTCGTCCAAGAGACCCGCTTTTGAGTGTCTCCAGGCCCGACAGCGGCCCCGGAGGCCCGACGCCGACGAAGAAACGCCGGATGAAGCACTCATATCGTTGGAGAGCTGGCGTGGGAGGATTGCAAAAAAACCCTCGTGGTTTGCAAAAAAAGGATTGCAAAAAAACCCTCGAGAGCTGGCGTGGGTTTTTTTGCAATCCTTCGTGTTTTTTTTTTTTGTTTTTGCAATCCTAGGTTTGTTTGCAATCCTTCGTGCAATCCTTCGTGGAAGCGCGACGGCGAGCAGTTTTTTCGTCACGTCGGGCCTCGGGGGAAGCGCTCGAACGAAGAAGAGGGCGGCGGGGCAATGCGAGGCTAGGGTCCGCAAGTTTGGATTCCGACATGGGTACGGGAAAAGTTGCACGGGGCCCAACATCATATGGTATCCAGAACCGAAAGCGGCCGCTGTTGGGCAGGCGGCCTTCTGTCTCAACTGGGCAACATCCGCGGGGATACCAACAGCAAATCCTGTTCAACACCAACCGGAACGGTTGCTTTCGAAAGCCTTTTGCCTCACAGGGCCCTCTATATCACCGTGATGGGAGTTTCTTGCGATCTGCCTTCGCCAAGAGCACAACAGGGCGGAGTAGTTCGGAAAGGCTGTGCTCGAACTGCTCCGCGCACGGGCGCATCCTGCTCGAAACTTGATCGGGTGTGGCGCGGAGTGGTTCCCGATCCGGTCTTGGGGTGACAGAATTACAGAAGCATCAGGCGGATCGGAAGCTGCTCCGCCGAACGACGCCGTGACCATGGCGTTCAGAAACTTAAGAGTGATGGGAGATATCTGTGCCATCGCAAATAGAAGATCTGTTTGCCATGGCTGCGTAGCAGCACGCTCGGGGACCTCTTGGGAACCTTGCAGCCTTCCCGAACAACTCCGGGCGCACCCTGCGTCATGAGCCTCACCTTCCACAGTCGGCGGCACCGCCCGCCAGGCCTCTCCAATAGGCAGGAGCTGTTGTCGGTCTTCGTGCCCAACTTGGCGGCGCGCACCAGGGGGCGGGGGGAGGGGGGAAGGCTTCTGAGAAGGAAGCTGCTTCTGGGAAGGCGCGGGCCTGACATCTGTAGACAGGGCCCGCGCCTTCTAAGAAGCGGGGTGATTTCTGAGCAGCCTTCCCCCCTCCACCTAACCCCCTCCTGCATCGGCGACGCACTGGCGATGCACTGGCGATGCATCGTCGACGTCGGCGATGCATCGGCGACGTTGGCGTGAAGCAAATCGGGCTCCACATCGAGCCGCGTCGGCGATGCATCGGCGATGGGACGCGATCCTCCGGCCCGATCTATTCCGACCCCATCTAGGAGGCCTCTCCGTACACGTCCTGGCAGGTCCTTCCGGGTGGCCGGTTGGTTGGGCCGAAGGCTCCTGGACAATTTCGACCAGAATCAGCAAAGGGAGGCAACACAAGATGACGAGCACTTCTCTCACATATGGGCTTGTTGGAGGAGCCCTTCTTTCACACAGGGGGCTCTACACTCATCACAGTCTGCCCTTCTTTCACAGAGGGGCCATTTGTCATCTTATTCCCAACCCTCCTATGGTTGGGTACTCGTTTTGAATAGAGCAGTGTGGTTGCCCCGTCCTCCTCCTCCTCCCCTCTCCTCCCCTCCTCCTCTCCTGTTTCCTGTGTTCCCCTCTCCTCTTCTCTCGTGCCGTCGGGCTTGCGATCTGCGCAACTGTCGCCACTGTCGTGGGCTCCTGGGAGGCCCAGCGGAGGTGGGTCCCACGCGGATCACCTCGGTAGCTCGCCGCCCCCTGGGGGGCTTGCGATCTGCGCAACTGCCGCCACTTTCGTGGGCTCCTGGGGCGTTCTGCGCTCCCAAAGCCTTGGTGGCCTCGGCGCGCGCCGCCTCCAGCTCCTGTTTGCCTGCCTTGCTCTGGTCTTGAGCCTCGCCAGCGGCTGCGACTGCCTTGTCCGCTGCATCCCTGAGCCGGTGTTCCCTCTCCTGGAGCTCGAACGCCTTGCCCTGGAGCTTCGGCGCTGTGTCGGGAGCGCCGCTGCCCCTTCCCCATGCGAGCCCTGCCGCACGCAGTCTCCTCTGATGATTGATGTTGTCCATCTGGCTCTGGCACAAGCGCATGGCCATGACTTCGAAAGTTCCTTCATTCATGGTGGCCCAGTGTCCCTTCCCCTTCGTTGACAGTAGCGTGCGCTGGTTGCTCCAGTACTTATGGTCCCAAGAGTGCTTATCGTACCGAACTCCATGCTGCCTGGCGAAACCCTTGTCCCTGGAGGTACGGATCCGCGGGACCCCCCCTTCGGCCCAGCCCACCTGGGAGCCCTCGGGGCACTAGCCACTGGCTTGATTCCGTTCGGTTTCCATGCGCCAGTGGAAGCACTTCGCTTTCGCGCCATTGTTCCACGCACCACAAATCCTGCAGCCCAAACCCACCATGCCGTGACTAATTAAGCCTGCGTCACTGGCTTCCTGCTGGACAAGGGCGAAGGACGAAGGACTCCGTCGAGCTGAGGCGGGCCCGCTGACGGCTCTGAAGGGGGCGGACCTGACAAAGACTTCAGCTAGCCGCGGATCAGCGGTGTCCAGCTGGTTCCCTGGGGTAACCTCAAAACCTTGACCCCACATTGCTACGGCCTCCTCCTCCTCCTCCTCCTCCTCCTCCTTAGCCGTGGGCTCCCGCCTCGCTGCTGCCTGATCTCCTCATCGCTTGTGCCGTCGCCGGCGGTCTGCCTGGCGGGCGGCCGCCCCGGCCGAGCAGGAGTGGCCCGCCGCTGGAGATCGGGCGACGCTGGCCCCAAACCTCCGACGATGTGATCTGCTCGGTCCCGGCGTCTTCTTCGAAATCGGCCTCCCGGCCCCCTTTCTCGGGCCCCGGGGCCCTGAGAGGCCTCTCCCGCATGGGGTCCGAGCTGATTGGGTCGGAGAGTCGCACCGCATCGCCCACATCGGCGACGCATCGGCGACACATCGGCGACGTCGGCGTGGAGAACATCGGGCTCCACATCGAGCCGCATCGCCGATGCATCGGCGATGCGGCGCGACCCTCCGACCCCATCTCCTCCGACCCCATCTGGGAGGCCTAGAACCATCGGAACCGGTTCTGGGGCGAACAATGGTCTCCGGGGAAGGGGCCGGGAGCTTGGGGCCGCGGATTGCATCCATCGGATCGGCGGATGTCAAGGCCTGACCCGAGACATGCGACGTCTTGATTTTTTCAGGACGGCGTCCCCAGAAGTCCCGACCGTTTCCCCGGGGCCAGTTTTTCGTCCTGAGTCGTTTTTTGACGGTCCCGAGGCCCGACGAGGGCCCCCCGAGGCCGAAAAGAGCCAAAAACGTCCCGTCCTGATTTTTTGTTTTACGACGCGAGCATGTCTGGGACCACCTCGCCTGGTCTTGGCTGAGCCGAGCCTGGGCGCAGGATCGGCGTCGACGCCTCTCTGGCCAGGACCGGAGGGGCCCGTGCGCCCGACCGCCTCGCGGGTACCCGGGCCCGGCCCGCCAGATCGGGGGGGGCGGTCTGCCGGCGCTGCCCACTCCATGCTGACTGGCACTCTGAAGGAGCGCGGAGAGCGGCCATTGCTCTCTCGGTGGCCTCTGCGGAGGTCTCGAGGGGATCGGAGGGCCAGCAGGAGAGGCCAGGGCTCGAAGCGAGGAGTCGGATCGGCGATCGAAAGGGATCGGATCGGCGGAAATCGGCAGCCGAGTCGGGAGCAGCCGAGTCGGCGGAAATCGGCAGGCTCGCATGCCTCCATTACGGAATCGGAGTCCAAATTGGAACCCGAAGTCGATCCGAATCGGAATCGGAGGCCATCGGGATCGAATCTCGAAGCCTGTCCCCGAGAGCGGTGGTCGCCGTCCTGACCCGCTTCGCCGAGGGGGTGCGCAAAACGAGGGCATGCCGAGAGCCCAGGCACGAAGGACAGGAGTAGGCAAGCGCGTTCCACTACTCGCGAAGCAACCGCTCGCAGAAGGCCCGGATCCGCCATGGGGAATCTGCGATACACTACATCGAGGCAGGCCTTAGTTTTTTTCGGACGTTTGCAAATAGGCACTTGCGAGTAACGGAACGCGCTCGGTGAAGGAGGGAGCCCCTCCCAAACTGAGGCTGCTCTCAGCCCTCGCGCCAATGGCAGATCCCAAGGCTGGGTCAGCGGAGGCGGCCAGGGGGGTCTGAACTGGATTGGCCTCAAGAAAAGCAATCGGGAAGGGGAGACAAATGCCAATCTTCTCAGAATCGGTCTCCAGATCCCTCCTCGGGTCCATCTGGTGCAATTTTTCGCTCTGGATCCGTTTCTGACGGCCCCCGGGGCTCGAACACGTCCCCCGGAGGCCGAGACAAGCAAAGACCTCATCGAACCCAGAACCTCGAACCTTCTCTTTCCTTCATGCTGAGTGCCAGGCCCCCTCAGAGCCCCAGCTGGCTCCAAGGAAGGTGTCTGTGTGTGTGTGTGTGTGTGTGTCGGCTCCGGGTGGCTCCCAGCCCCAGGTCAGCCAAAGGATCCCGGAGGGGACCAGCCGACCCCCGCGAGGTGCTGCCCCCGCGACCCCCCTTAACCAACGCAGGACCAGTCAGCACCGCATCTGGCAGCCGGACCGCATCGGAACGTGCGTCGGATCGGGCCGCATCGGCATGGCGCCGGACTCGGAACGGGTCAGCTGCGCTCCTCCTCCTCCTCCTCCTCCTCCTCCTCCTCCTCCTCCTCCAGGGTGCAGAGCTCAGCGCCATGCAAAAGTATCGGGCCGCAGGGGTCCTCGGGAGCGCCCAACCAAGAGGGGTGCGTCCAAGAGGGTGGCTCGCAAATCGTGGCCCGAGGCACGTGCCCCGCCAAGGGGGGGTCAGGGGCCAGGAGGCGCGCTGTGGGAGGGAAAAGAAGGGGCCATGCAGTCTGGGGTGAGATCATAGCCTGGGCTACACCATGCGAAATGCTCAAGAAATCATGGGTTAAGAAATTCATAGTCTCAGAAATTGAATAAAACCCAGAACTTCTATCAAAATCTTGGGATTTACATTGAAAAAGTTAAGAATAATCGAGACTCTGGACGAAAACTTAGGTTTTCTTAAGCATCGCCTAAGGTGTACGGCATCCCCCACCCCGTAGTTCATCACCCTCCTCTTGGCCGCCTCCGACACAGCACAGCGCCACCGAATCGGATCGAGCCGGCCAGACCCGACATGGGGTCGGATCTTTGGAGACAGGAGGTTCGAGGCAGTGGGTCTGCATAGCCTCGGCAGGCCCCGCTGGGGCGAAGATCAAGAATGGCTCCTCCCAATCGCATGGACTTACAGGCCATTCCGTGAAATTCGACGTCGCGAAAAGTTGCAACATCGCCTGGAACCAGGATCAGAACCAGGATCAGAGCCCTAGACCCCATCTTCCGCGAGGGCCCCCGGCCCCGAGACACCCGGCAAAAACGCCCGTCGTGGAAAGACTGCACCGCCTAGATCTCTGGGTTCTTTGAGGATCGAAATGGGCCATATGGCGCACGTACCACGACGGCCACAGGCTCGAGAGCCGCAGGAGGGATGGGGATGATCGAGGCAACAAACCAGGCAGTGAGGGAGGAGGCAGGGAGGAGGTCCCACCGCTCCTCCTCCTCCTCCTCCTCCTTCTCCTCCCTCCTCCCTCCCTCCCTTCCTCCCTCCATCCTCCTCCCTCCTCCCTCCCTTCCTCCCCCCCTCCTCCCTCCGTCCCTCCTCCCTCCCTCTCTCCTTCCTCCCTCCTCCTCCTCCTCCTCCTCCTCCTTTCCTCCCCCCTCCCTCCGTCCTTCTCTTCCCTCCCTCCTCCCTCCCTCCTCCCTCCTCTTCCTCCTCCCTCCTCTTCCTCCTCCCTCCTCCCTTCTTCCAGCCCGTTTAATGATAAGCAACTCCTTCCTGTCGCACCCCGAGACGTGCCGGTAGGGCGGGTCTGGCGTTTCGCCTGAGACTTCCTCACCGCTACTGACCCTTAATCTGAAGTTCTGTAACAGTTTCATGGATAGAGGTCGGGTGGTTTTCAACATGTAGCTCTCGCCTTAGCGCCCCACGCATTCGTCTTACAAGTTCGCAAGAGTTCCATAGAGTTAGTTGCATGGATGGAGGGCGGGCCGTTTTTGTAAGTGTTGCTTTCGCCTCAGCGCTGCACGCATTCGTCTTGAATGCTTGCAAGGCCTTCGTGCTTGGAGGGCGGGCCGTTTTCAATATGCGGCTCTCGCCTTCGCGCCGCGCACATTCGTCCTACACGTTCGCAGAAGTTCAACGGATGGAAGCCGGTACCTTTTCAAAATGTGGCTCTGGCCCTGGCGCCGCGGGCATTCTTCTTACGAGTTTACAGCAGTTACAACGATTCTAAATGGTGACTTCCAGAACTGGCGGTTTGGCACGATGTAGGACTGCCAGGGTGTAGTAGTTACGCTGCTTCGCGGTGCTAAGGTGTCAGAACCGGCGTTCGGGCACGATTCGGGTTCGTCAGCACGCAACAGTGACGTTGACTCGCGGCGTTGAAGTCCCAAGAATGGTGCTCTGGCACGGTTCAGGATTTTCAAACGGTGGTCTTCTGGCTGGGCGCTTCCCTCAGTGAACATGAATCCTCGTAGGGACGTCTGACGAGGGAACTCGGAGGGAGGCTCTATTGCAGCATCGCTGATGAACCTTAGATTTGCATTGGTCTTTCCCTCCTCCTCCTCCTCCTCCTCCTCCTCCTCCTCCTCTCCTCCTCCTCCTCCTCCTCCTCCCTCCTCCTCCTCCTCCTCCTCCTCCTCCTCCTCCTCCTCCTCCTC